TATACTCGTCCCAAACTATGCTAATATCTCCATGAATAAAAAATTCAAGGTGTGCAATAACAAAAAAAATTCACGGTACTCACCACCTCACCACCGCTTATGTCACAGAACGATGCGAATTATATTAATGAGGAGCACCAACAACCAAGGTTTCAAATTAGACAGTGTGGATCGATGGTAATGAGACATGATTCATTTATTAGACAAGCGAACATATCTTTGAGGTTTTCAAAACAAATATCATTGTAGCAATCATTCGTGCTTTTAGGGAGATTAGTAAGTGTCTACGTGCTTTGCACGTGGTAATTATAGATGATGATAATGACAGTAACAGTGTATTCATAAATTTCTACAAACACATATTTTTATGTTTTTGCTTTTTATTATTAATCATATGAAAATTGCAAAATCTAAATAGGATTGCATAAACAATTCATCTAAATATGTGATAATCAAATCGAGTTGTGAAGTTTCAAGTATCATTGACAAGTCTATTTTCTTGGTTGGGTTCTTCTTTTTATAATATTTTATCTTTTTGGTGTTTTTTTTTTCTATTTAGTTATCAAAAAAATGTAAGATTAATAGAGGAAATTGAATGAGGTGAAAAATAGTAGTTCAGTTTATAAATTCAAAAATGAGTATTTTAGTCAAAATAAAGTTTTACAATCTTATTTATATTTTTAATAGTAGTGTAAATTTTTCCATATTTTTTTATATTTTTGTGTAAAAATAATTTTGATATGTAACACTTACTTTTTGTATAATATGATAATTAATTAATATTATTCATGTGCCTAAATGTTTATTTTTTTGCAACATTTATGTATTTTGTTATATTTTTTTATTTTTATTTTATTAATTTTTATTATTTATTTATGACATTAAATGTTAACACATTTGACCCAAAAGTTGACAAATAGTAAAATAATTTCATTTTCGATAAGTTCTATAGTATGTATTTCATTTTCATTATCAACAAAAATAATTATTTTTATTACCCTTATTTTTTAATTTGATTAAAAAAAGAATCATAAATGTGTCTAATTGTTTCTATGTTTTTGTAATTTTCTATATTTATTTTTATTTTAAAAATTTTATTACCTAACTATGACTTCATAGGTTTATTAATTTGATTGGAATGGTTGGATTGCTTAGCCATTACTTGGATAAAGAATGTTTTTGTTTTTTAGTTAATTTTAAAATATATGAATTTATATTGTTAAAAATTTTGGCATAGATGTAATTAATACCATTTATTGATGAAAAATAACTTAAATATAGGATTTAATAAGAGAAAGTGGGAGTTAATACTTTTAAGTATAAGACTTAATGAGAGTGGATTAAATAAGGTGGAAAGTAATAATTGAAGTTATACATTTTCAATCCTTTCAATTAGAGATGGATTAAATACACAAATATGGTCATTATAGTAGCTATTAAAGCTGACATTAAAGCTATAATAAAATAACTTTTATACCCTTTCTCAAACAAAGAAATAGAGGGTAATATTAATCCCCAAAAAAATATTCACACTTTTATATATAACTAGTAAATTTGCACCTGGCAATTTAAGATGATAAAGATAATAATATACATTAAAATATTATGTCCCAAAGAGAGTAAACATTATGTCTATAAAATAATTCCATATTAGAGATGTTCTAAATGTTGTCTACAAATATTATGTATTTTTTGTATATTTTGCGTTTTTGTCTTTCTTTAATTTTTATTATTTAATTATGACATAATGGCTTGACCCGTATGACCCAGATGGTTGAATTGCTTATCTACTACCTAGATAGAAAGACAATTTCATTTATTAGTTCAATGTTGAAAAAAATGAGATTTAGGGTTAGTTTGATTTGCGGGCAGGACCAAAAGTAATTTTATTAGTCTATTTGTTATTTTCTTATCACTTTATTAATATTTTATGAATATATAATTATCATTTATTATTACTTTTCTATTATTAATATATTAGTATTTAATAATTAATACCTTAGTATTTATTATTAATTTATTACATTTTATTATTACTTTCTTATTAGTTTATTAATTTTTATCATTTTAATTATTTTAGAATTAATTTATTCTTATTGAATAATTAATATGTTAGTATTTTATTATTACTTTAATTATGTTATATATATTATTTGTACTTAATTATTCTTATTATTTAATAAATAATGTTTTATCTTTTTATTATTACTTTGTTTGTATTATTTTATTAGTATTTATCATTAATTTATGAGTATTTTATTAAAATATCATTATATTATTATTACTTGAATAATCTTTTTATTATTATATTTTATTAATAATTTATTATATTATTATATTTTATTCTTATTTTCTTATTGGTTTATTAATATTTTATTATAGTATGACTATTTTATAAATATTTTACTATTGTTATTATTATTATTATTATTACTACTACTACTTTCATATTATTTTTTTGTTTAATTATGTATTTATTTTTTTATTATTACTTTAATTATATTATATTAATATTTTATTATTACTATTTTTATTACTATTAACTTATTATTGATTTGTTAGTTATTTATTATTTTATTAACATTAGGGTTTGGGGGGCCTTTTGTCATCAGTTCTTTATTTCTTTATAGACTTTCGTATGGAATTCCATTCCTGAGGGCAAGCCTAGAATTGCTATTCCCCTAAGAATATGAATCAACATCCAATTCCACCATATGGGCGTTAGCACCTTAAATATATGACAATGAGAGGGATTTAAACGGGGTGAAAAATAATAGTTAAAATTACATGTTTTGGCCTCACAATTAAAAAGGGATTAAATTCAAATTACATTTTTTATATTTTCATGTGTATAAAAGTAGTTCTTATTTTGGAACTTGTTTTTATTTTATAAGATGAATATACAATTATTAGAGATGCGCTCAAATGCTTTTTTTTTCTTGCAAAATTTATGTATTTTTCATTTTTCATTTTTTATTATTTAATTATGATATCAAATATTAAAACAGTTGACCTAAGAGTTGAGTTGTTGACTCGGACCAAATAGGAAATTAAATTCATTTTTGGGTAAATCTCTTAAACTACCCCTACTGTTCACGGAATTAACAAACTATACCCTTACTGTTTAGATACTGGCTTGCGCTACCATTAAGTTTTTTGACAATTGTCTAACACTTCCCCTGTCGTTAATTTTCCGTTACACTCCGTTCACATGTGACATTACGTGAGTATTAATTATTTTAAATTCCTAAAATGCCCTTATTGTTCACTACTCTTATCCCCTTCCTCTCGACCTGACACACCCTTCCTCCTCTGACCTCTCAATCTTCCCTATGGTTCTTGGGAGAAGAGCTTCTATGAAGGACCAACATACAAAGTTGAAGGTCGAGGGCATAGGATCCGGATGCCTGCAACCTATGCGACGAGAATCTTTCAGCTCACAAGAGAACTCAGTCATGAGTCCAACGCTGAGACCATTCGGTGCCTCCTCGAACACGCCGGACCCGCCATCATAGCCACTACAAGTGGTGCCCGCCATCACCACTGTTGATTGAACCTCCGAGAACTCTGTTTTGTGATGATATAATTTTCCTACTATTTTCCCATATAAAACCAAATAATGGAAAGTTAAATTTTTTCACTTTCCCATCCCATCCCATCCCATCCCATCCCATCCCATCCCATCTTTTCCCATCCCACCCAAATCTTCCCACAAATCAAATGGAGCCCGAGGGATTCATATGAAGGGAAAATTTATAAAATAATTCAATTTCAAAAAAGAGATTGGGAGGGTTTGGGGTAGTGATTGATATGAAGGGAAAATTTGGAAAATAAACATTTTAGTTAAATTAACTACATGGTTATTTTGGACATTTTCATGTCTCTTGTTTGAGGATTATAAGAGAAGGGGTTTACTTGCAACTGTGTTACAATGTTCAGAGGAGGTGATTGCAATTACCTAACTTTAGGGGAGGTTTTCAGCAATGGTCAAAAACTTCAGGGGGGGTTAGAATTTTACCCCTTAAAAAACTTGGGTTTCATATTGTTAAAAGGTATTTGATAAACATGAGTTCCAAATTACTTTTCAAAATATTTATTTTTATACTATTAAAATTAATGTTGTCTTTAATCTGCAAAATTTAATGATGAAAAAATATATCTTAAATATAGGGTTTAATGAGAGAATATATCCAATTAGTTTTAAATTTTACATTCAATTTCCATCATTAATAAAACATTCCTTATTTATCATACTTATTATTGTTTAATATGTCGAATATATGATGCTAAATGTTCCCAATTATTTTTTTATTTTTATATTTTTTGTATTTTATCTATTTTTGCATTTTATTATTTAATTGTGGCAACATGGATTAACCCATTTGACCCAAAATGGTTTAATTTCTTACCACCACCTAGATGAAAATACTATTTTTTCCTAATTAGATTTAAAAAATATAAGCTTTTATGTTATTGAAATTATTAATTTATTATGTATGGATTTAATTAATATAACTTAATGATGAAAAGAAACAAAAATGTTTTAAATATATAATTTAATGAAGGTGAATGTAAGTTAATTCCTTAAATATTGGTCTTAATGAGAGGTAATTGAATGCTTTAAATATTTTAAAATTATATCTTTTCAACTCATTTAATATCAAAAACAGATTACCCTATTTACCCTCATTTTTTATCAATAAATTTAAATGTGAAAGGATAATTTTATTCTTAAAAAATTCAAAAAATATTCTTAATGCTATTAATGCTTTTTAAAATAGTATAGATATAAATATAGATAAGATTTGTTAAAAATAAGACGCTACCAACACCGCTTCCAACATGATCTATAACCGCACATCTCAGACAAGTTTCGTTTGTATTGAGATTATTCGGAGTCGATAGGCTCGATACACGAGGACTCAAGGAAAGGGAATCTCTCGAGGGCAAATATAAATTAAGAGCCTAATATTTTTAAATGTTCAATTCAATCTTAAAAACTGGCAAACAAGGAAGCTCGCATGAGCCCACCCGATAACTTTTTGAGCTAGGGTTTCGATTTATCCAGGAGTTTGCTCTCCTTTTGGTTTAGATTTGAATGCTGTCTCTTTTCCTGAAGCTATGGAAGCTTATAAGAATTGGGTAAGGAAGAACAAGGATTACGTCCACTCAATTGAGTCCCTTGCCAATGTAAGCTGTTTCCACCACCACCACTACTACTTCTGTTTCTTTTCTTATCGATCTTCTATGCTTTTTCTTCGTTTGCTTGTTTGCTTGGTGGTTGGAGTGTTCTTTCTACTTTATTCGTTTTTTGTTTTCTTTATCATGATAGTTCAGGAAAAGGAGAATTAAAGCATGAAAAGAGAAGATGTGAGCTTGTTTTGTATTTCGATATTTAGTTGGTGCTCTCTCATCTGGGTATTGAAAATTAATGTACAGAGTTTGACGTGGCTTCTCCCGGAACGCTTTTCTGATTCGGAAATAGGACCAGAAGCAGGTTTTGTGAAATTTTGGTAACAATTGGCTTCTTCTTGTTGTCTCTAAAGCTGCGAAACTAATGACTTTCCTCTATTTCTCTTAGGGGCTTGTCTATCTTTATCTTGCTTTTACTTTTCCTTTATGGGTTTTTGTTCAACACAATCACTTACGTGGAGATTGAAGTCTTTGAGAATTGTCTTGCAGTAACTGCTATTTTGGGTATAATTACTGCTATCAATGATCACATAATCGAAACGACCCCGACGCGAAACACTAGCTCTGCAGAGCCCTCTTCGTTCCCTTGGTCCTTGTGCATATCTGCTTTGAAGGACTTGGAGACATTGGTTGAAGTTGTGGCACAACACTTCTATGGTGACGATAAAAAATGGAATTTCATTGCCGTTACAGAGGCTATAAAGTAAGCAATGCCTCTACATGGTGATTTTTAGTCCCTTTCTCTAGTTAGTTTATTGGCTAATCTGCCAGTTGATTTGATTCAGGGTACTAGTTAGGTTGGCTTTGTTCCGGGATAGTGGATATAAGATGCTCCTGCATGGAGGTGAGGCAACAAATACAGTGGAGGATCCAAATGCTTCTGGTTCCCACCACAGAATGCAAAATTTCACAAAACCTGGTGGACATCAAGGGCCCGGTTACTTTCAGGACTATAATGGCTATCGTGCACAGAATCTGGAAGGAAGGGCATTATCAGCATTGAGTAGGTTTGGAGAGAATGCTAGGATGACCTTGGACCCTACATGGTTGAGCAGATTACATTATCAACATTCTCCATTTGTGGAATCTTCAAGTAATGCTTCTTTGACAGCATGGTACCTTGATAACTTCAATGAATGAAAATTGCTTGTGATGCTTCTGTTAATTCTGCCTTTTATTTTTATTGCAGGTCCAGTGGCTGAGAGGCCTACCCTTGCCAAAGTTTTGTCTGACCAGGGGCTTTCTGGTGGCTTATTTGTACTCAGTGAAGTGCTTTTTATCACAAGGCCACTTATTTATGTTTTATTCATTAGAAAATATGGAGTTCGGTTTTGGTTGCCTTGGTTTATTTCATTAGCTGTGGATATCACTGGAACGGGAATCCTTTCCCTTGTCACAAGTTCATGGGGCAGTAAAAATAACCAACATTATTCTCTTTCCACATCTGAAATGAATGAGGTGAGGATGATAATTTAACTGTCTTTTCATTGATTCATTGCTCTATTAGAGCCAGTTTCTATTCTTTGAGCAGTTTATGTCTTTACCACCTGTTAGTTCCTTATAAGAAAAAGTTCATTTTCCTTCTTTTCTTTTCTCTCCCTCTTTTTTCTTTTGTTGCTAAATAAGTTGCAATGATATGGGCTTGATACAGGTCAAAAGGAGAAAGCTGTTATGGGCACTTTACTTGATGAGAGATCCATTCTTCAGCAAGTATACCAGGTACTTCTCTATGCTTTCTTTAACTTATTTCTGGATTTGTTTAGTTTTCTTTTGGATTTTTTACTTATATCCAATCACATTCCAGGCAAAGACTTGAAAATGCTGAGAAACTCTTGGAACCTGTTCCTGTCATTGGGTTACTCACAGGTGCACTTGATGTCTACTTTGTGACCTAGATCTTATGCCACATTATCATGTTGATTTCTAGCTAGTTGAGTTTTTATATTTCAACTTGGGGAATGATTAATCATGAATTCTACATTTTCTTTTGCATGCAGCTAAATTTATCGAACTTATTATTGGAGCTCAGACACGGTACACTTATATGTCAGGATCATGACAAAGAATTTGTGGGGGCCTTGCTTCTTGTGCACCTTTTGCAATTAAGTTAACCTCCAATTCCACAAGAAAGAAAAACAGTGAAAATTCAAGATTGTCTTCAGAACTCAGCTACAAATGTGCTGCATCGGTTTTTACCTAATATCTACTATATAGTGAGGTTCAGTTGGTTATTTGCTCAATTGTTTCATCAAATGTATTTTAATATAAGAACTGATTTCCATGAGCTAAATATTCTTTGTCTCTACATAGTAAATTCTTAGTTGAAGAAATAGAATCTACATAGTTAATAAGAACCTTGGTTTGTAATGGCAATGTACTCTGGTGCTATTGGGTCAGGGGACTCATTAAGGGCAGAAATCATGGCTAAACAAGGGGTGAGTAGAGGTCACTTTTTTGGGCTTTGTTGTAATACATACAAATGCGGGAGGGGGGATGTCACTATTGTAAATTTATTGTACACTTTGTTTATGAGAAATGAATGAATTCATGGTCTCTCATCAACAAAAAGAAAGAAAATAAAGACAACAGACAAATAGAAAGAGACTCTTTGCTTGTTGGGGACCTTGGGGTTTATGTTAAGCACAAGATTGCTTGTAGTTGTTCAATTACCACAAGGAGTGGTTTTGATCAGCATTGTTGTTTAGAACAGGTTTCTTTCCCTTTCATTTAAATTTGCTGACCTTGGGGACTAATGACTATATTATTGTACTGGAGTCTGAGAGAAATTGTGATAGGTTGATAGAAATAAATTTGTCTGGACATGCATAGAATTTTGAGGAGGTATTAGTAGGAAGAAAGGGGGTTATTTTATACTTTCATAACTCCTCAATGGGATTATATGTTTTTGGAATCTTTTGTTGCAAGGTTTTGGATTTCTTTTTTTTTTTTGATACTTGCAAGGTTTTGGATTTCAAGATTATAGATAACAACAGTTTGGGGTTTTTCATCATCATCAAAGCCTTGTCCTAACTATATGGGGTTGGCTACATGAATCTTGTTTCACTTTCACCATTCCGTTATGTTCACTGTCATATCCATTGTCATATTATGGGCGCTTAAATAATTTCTTGTTATTTCCACCCAAGTCCTTAGCTAGAATGGAATTTCATTCCCAAGGGAGGGGGAGGGAATGAACATTCACTCAAATGGGAATGGGATTCCAATTCAGCCCAACCAAACAATTGAAATTGAAATGGCCCATTCTGATTCCAATTCTAGACCCCTATTCTCGGGAACTAAATGGGCCCTGAATAATAATTGTTGGTTTACAAAATAAGATGTAAAATGGAGAATAATTTTCAAAGATAAAAAGCAAGTTAGTTTGCTTTTTTGAAGGCATAGTTAGGTTGTTCCAACATCGGATTAAGGGTATTAGTTACACCTATTTGCTAAGGGAAGAAATAGGGAATATGGAGTGGGCTAGAGATAGGAAATAATGTAAAAATCTAGGTTCTTAATAAATTGGTTGTTGTTCATCTTTGTTTGCAAATGGACAATTCATCAAGAAGATTGCAAATGTGATCAGATTTTCTAAGGAGTCCAATAATCCTAGGCAGGGGGTCACAACAAGTGAGGAGATTCAATAGGATCATAGAGATATTTGAGCTGAAGGAGATTGAGACAGGGCAGAAGGCCTGTGTGTAGATTGCTGGGGCTTGTGTTGAGCACTTCAAATCTATTCTAAGAAGGCCTGTGTGTAGAAGGGTGTGGGTAGAAGGTTTGGATTGGCCAGATGTAGGGGTGGAGAACAGGAGAAGG